CATGACCTGAGCTGAAGTCAGACACTTAACCAACTGAGCCACCCTGGCATCCCCTATCCTTCAGGCTTTAACTTCCATGGAGAGCCTTTCATGCCAAGTTAGAACCACCTGCTCTGTGCCCTGCCAACACCTCTCATGGTCTCTAAGCCTCCATCTGTGTGATCATTTGGATAATCGCTGACATTTCTGTAATGCTAGGGACTGTGTTCTGTTCTTCTCACCACCTCCTTCAGAGCACAGTACCTGTGCTCAGGAAGCTCCCATGGGAGCGGGAGATGGCAATCAACAAGAAAGCACATAACAAGATTCTATCAAATATGAAAGAAAGGGGAAAACAGTGCAGGGTGGTCGGGTGGCAGAGGCCTTTAGACAGGCCATCAGAACGGCCTCCTTGAGGAACTGACATTAAAGCCAGAAGGCACAGCTGGGTGAGGTAGAGGAGGGCACAGCAGGTGCACAAACCCTGAGGATGTAAAGACTTTGTTGTCTCAGAGGAACAGAACAAGCTTTAGGTCAGCCGAGCCAGAACGTGGGGGTGGGGGGTCCACACAAATCAACGGTAAGAAGTCTGGATTTTGTTTTAGGTGCTGACTCGTAAAACCACTGGAGTGAGTTCTGTGGGTATGGAAACACAAGTAAGCCTGTGAGGCAAAATACTACTTCTGTCTGACTTTAGAAAGAACATTCTGGCACCTGGGCGAACGGTACGCAGAGGCAAGAACAGAAGCATGAGAACCGATTAGGAGGGCACAGCCAGGTGAGGGCTGACAGGGGCCAGACTAGGAATCGCAAAGAGATGATAGGAAGTGGCTGGGCTCACCTGCGGGGCGGGGGAGGTGGAGGTGTGAAGACGGACACGGGTTTGTCCTGGGGAACAGTGTGGACAGACATGGGTTTGTTTACCTAAGGGAAGCGTTGCCCCAAACGGGCTCATCCCTGGAGAACGCCGCCAGACGCAAGCAGGGCGCAGCATCGAGCTCGCGGACCTCGGGCACTCCGGGACTCACACCCAACAGCGCGGCCGCTCCCGGGGTCCCCTTGCCACCGCCGCCTCCCGAGCCAACTCCCGGAGAAGCCTGGCCATCCCCGGACCCGCAGCTCCTCACCTGAATACCCGGGCGGGCTCGGAATCCCCTGCTCGGAGCCCTGCGCCCCACGCTTCCTCCTGCGCGCCACCATCTTGCCAACCGGAAGCTGCGGGGGCCGCTGGGAGTTGCAGTTTGGCGCTCCGAGCCCGACCGTTTCCATGACGACGGCGCCGCGTGCGGGCCCGCCCCCTTGGCTCCAGGCCCGCCTTCCCGCCCTAGTTGTACCTTGAGGGCGCAACCTTTGTTTGCTCTGAGCAAAGTCAGCACGTAAACGTGCGAGTAAAGGTCCGGATGAGGATGGAACGCCACCATCCATCCATTCCAGAAATGGCAAAGGAGGCCCCATTGAAGTTGACCGTTTTAACTAACCATTTTTTAAGCGTACAATTCAGTGGCATTAAATACGTTCTCATTATTGTGCAAACCGTGTTCAATATCCATCTCCAGAATTTTTTATCCTCCCAAACTGAAACTCTACCCGTGTCCTCCTTCCCCCAGCCCCTGGTAACCACCCCCTCTATTTTCTGTTTTTTGTTTTTTTGTTTTTTTTAATTTTTTTTTAATTTAATGTTTATTTATTTTTGAGACAGAGAGAGACAGAGCATGAACGGGGGAGGGCCAGAGAGAGAGGGAGACACAGAATCTGAAACAGGCTCCAGGCTCTGAGCTGTCAGTACAGAGCCCGACGCGGGGCTCGAACTCACGGACCGTGAGATCAGGACCTGAGCCGAAGTCAGACGCTTCACCGACTGAGCCACCCAGGCGCCCCTCTACTTTCTGTTTCTATGAACTCGACTATTCTAGCTAGGTACCTCATATAAATGGAATCATACAATATGTGTCCTTTTGTGTCTGGCTTATTTCACTTAGCATGTTTTCTTGATTAATCCACGTAGTGGCATGTCTCAGAATTTCCTCCCTTTTTAAGGCTGAATAATATTTCATTGTACGTATAGATCATATTTTGCTTATCCATCTGTCTACGGACATTTGGGTTTTTCTACTTTTGACTATTGTGAATAATGTTGCCGTGAAATGTTCTATACAACTTCGTGCAGACATATTTTAATTTCTCTCGGATATATATCTAGGAGTAGAATTTCTTGATCATATGGTAACTCTATGTTTAACTTTTTGAGGAACTTCCAGACTGTTTTCCAAAGGCTGCATCATTTTAAAATCTCACCAGCGGAGCATGAGGTTTCCAGATTCTCCACATCCTCGCCATTATTTGTTATGCCTATATTTTGATCATAGCCATTCTAGGGGATGTAGAGTGACATCTTATTGGTTTTTTTTTTTAATGTTTATTTTTGAGAGAGAGAGAGAGAGAGAGAGAGAGAGAGAGAGAGAGAGAGAGAGAAAGAGCGAGCAGGGGAGGCACAGAGAGAGAGAGGGAGCCAGAGAATCCTAAGCAGGCTCCATGCTGTCAGCATAGAGCCTGACTTGGGGCTCGAACTCACAAAATGTGAGATCCTGACTGACCTGAGCTGAAATCAAGAGTGAGATGCTTAACCAAGCCACCCAGGCACCCCTCTCATTGGGTTTTGATTTAAATTTCCCAAATGATTAGTGATGTTAAGCACCTTTTCATGTGTTCATTGGCCATTTGTGTATCTTTTTTTACTTTGAGAAATGTCTACTCAAAGTCTTTGCTCATGTTTTATTAGGTTATTTGTACTTCCATTGTTGCATTGTAAGAGTTCTTTATCTCTCCTGGATGCAATTACCTCATAAAATATATGAATTGCAAAGATTCTCTCCTATTCTGTGGGTTATCTTTTCACTTTCTTAAAGGTATTCCTTACAGCATGAAAGATTTTAACTTCGATGAAGTTAAACTTTTTTTTGAGAGTATCCGTTGTCTTCACCATTTGTTAAGAAGACTGTTCTTTCCCTGACTGAATTGTCTGGCACCCTTGTTGAAAATTTAATGGACAGATATATGGGGCTTTAATTTTGACTCTCCATTCTATTCCATTGGTCTGTATGTCTATCCTTATGCTAGTATCATAGTGTCTTGATTACTGTAGCTTTATAGTTAAATTTTGAAATCAGGAAGTGTGAGTTCTTCAACTCTCCTCTTTTTCAAGACTGTTTTAGCTACTCAGAATCCCTTTAAATTCTTTCAACAATGCCTTGGAGTTTTCAGAATATGTTTTATGCTTATTTTGTTAAATTTATCCTATTTTATTGTTTGATTCAATGCTAAGTGGAATTATTTTTCTTAATGTGATTTTTTTAAAATGGTATCTCTGTGTGATTTTATTTATTTATTTATTTGAGAGAGAGAGAGCTTGTGCTTAAGTGGGGGGAGGGTCGAGGGAAAGGGAGAGAGAGAATCTTAAGCAGGTGCCACACTCAGTGAAGAGCCCAATGAGGGGCTTGATCTCAAGACTCTGAGATCATGACCTGAGCTGAAATCAAGAGTTGGATGCTTAACCAACGGAGCCACCCAGACACCCCCACCCCATGTTAATAAGATTATTTACTCGCTCATTTAAAAATTTTAAGTTTATTTATTTTGAGAGAGAGAGAGAGAGAGAGAGAGAGAGAGAGAGAGTGTGTGCGTGCACAGGGGAGGGGCACAGAGAAAGAGAGAGAATCCCAAGCAGGCTCCATGCTGTCAGGGCAGAGCCCAATGCAGGGTTTGATCCTACGAATTGTGAGATCATGACCTGAGCCAAAATCAAGAGTCGGACCCTTAACCGACTGAGCCACCCAAGTGCCCCTTAATGTGATTTTAAGATTTTTCATTGTAAGTATATTGATTGATCTCGTATTCTGCAACATTGCTACGTTTGTTAGTTGTAGCAGTCTTTCAATGGATTCCTTAGCATTTTCTGTATAAAGACCACGTCATCTACCAAGAGAGATCATTTTACTTTTGTCTTTCCAATCTGCACGCTTCTCTCTAGAACTCCCCCACTCCTCCCTCCCCACCCCCAAACTCCCTGGCTAGAACCTCTAGTGCAGTGTTAAACTGAACGGGTAAAAGCAAAAAAAACAAACAAAACAAATAAACAAGCAAACAAACCAAAAACCACCCCAAAACAACCACAAAAAAGAAGGGGTAAAAGCAGACGCCCTTGTCTCTGGTCTTAGAGGAAACACTTTCAATTTTTAACCCAGGGATTATGGGTTCCGTTGTGACCAAAGAACACACTGTACGATCTCAATTCTTCTCCATCTGTTGAGATTTGTTTTATGGGCCAGGATATGGTCTACCTTGGCATATATCCCATGGTATTTGAAAAGAGTGTGTCTTCTGCTGCTGGGTGGAATAGTCTTTGTTGATTGGATCCTGTTGGTTGATGGTGTTAAGTTCTACATCCTTGCTGATTCTCTGTCTCGTTGTTCTGTTGTTGCAAGGGGTGTTCAAGTCTTCAAGTGTGGACTTGCTATTTTTTCAATACTACCAGATTAGCATCACACGTTTTGCAGCTCTGTGATTTGGTAAATACATATTTCAGATTGTATCTTCTTGGTGGGTTGACTCTTTTTCTCACCATATAATGGTCCCCTGTCTCTGGTACCTTTCTTTGCTCTGAAGTGTAATATATCTGATACTTACATAATTGCTTTTGGGGGACTACTTGGATGATAGATACTTTTCAATCCTTTTACTTTCAGCCTTATATCGTCATATTTGGAGTGAGTCTCTTGCGGGAGCATACAGTTAGGTCATGTTCTTTCATCCACTTCGCCAACCTCTCCATAGATATATTTAGACCATTTACATGTGATACACCGTACTTAGTGATCTCAGTGATCTATGTAATCTCCCATCTTATTTTTTTTTTTCTGCCTTCCTGTGGGTTACTTGAACATTTTTAAAGAAATCCTTTTTATTTTTTTATTTTTAAAAATGTTTATTGGGGCGCCTCTGGTGGCTTAGGCCGGGTTAAGCGTCCTGACTCTTGAAATTGTGGCTACCATCTCAAGGTGGGATCCTCCTGCGGAGTTCCCAGCCCCCCCAAGGTCAGGTTTCTGCATATTGATGGCTCGGAGCCTGAGCCTGGCCTGCTTCCCGGACTTTGTGTCTCCTCTCTCTCTGCCCTCCTCACCATGCTCTGTCTCTCTCTGTCCCCCAAAAAAATAAACGTTAAAAAAACAAACAAACAAAAAAAATGTTTATTTATTTTTGAGAAGGAGGGAGGGGCAGAGAAGATTGGAGACCCAGAATCCGAAGCAGGCTCCGTGTTCTGAGCTGTCAGCACAGAGCCCGACGTAGGGCTTGAATTCACAGACTGTGAGATCATGACCTGAGCCAAAGGTCAGGATGCTTTTAACTGACTGAGCCACCCAGGCGCCCCAATCCTTTTTACTTATTATTTATTTATTACATATTTACATCTGTAGTGTTTTGGTTGCATTATCTTTTTTGAGTGGTTGTTCTAAGAATTTCATCATATATACTGGTTACCACAGTATATTTTTGTTGGCATTTTACCATTTTAAGTGTAGAAACCTCTCTATTCCCCTCTCGCCTTCCCCTGTTTATAAAGTAATTGCCTTAAATATTTCCTCTATGTACATTTCCTCTATGTACATCAATATTATAATTTTGGTTTCAACCATTAACCACAATTTAGAAAACTCATGGGAAAGATATTTTTATTTACCCATAGTTTTACTATTTCTGTTGTTCTAACTTCCTTTCTAGAGAGACAAAGTTTCCTTCTTTTACTTTTTAATTTTTAATTTTATTTTTAATATTTACTTTGAGAGGAGGGCACAGAGAGAGAGAGAGAGAGAGAGAGAGGCAGAGAGGGAGGGAGAGAAAGAGAATCTCAAGCAGGCTCTGCACTGTCAGCGTAGAACCCGGCGCAGGTCTTGAACTCACGAACTGTGAGATTGTGACCTGAGCGGAAATCAAGTTGGACACTCAACTGACTGAGCCACCCAGGCCCTCTTCCTTTTTTAGTTTTTCCTTTAAGTTTAGAGAAATTTAAAGCCATTATTTTAGGGTAGGTCTGCAGGCAACCAATTCCCCTAGTTTCCCTTCATCTGAGAATGTCTAAATTCCCCCTAATCCCTGAGATTTTTCTTTGCTGGACACAGAATTCTCAGTTGACACTTTTCTTTCACTATGTGAAAGATACACCACATTCTTCTCATCTCACGGTTTTTGGTGAGAAACCTGTCACTCACATTGTTCTTCCTTTCTAGGTAAGGTGTCATTTTTCTTTTGCTGCTTTAAAAATTTTTGGCTTTGGCTTTTCAGAAGTTTGGCTATGATGAGTCTTGGTGTTCATTTCTTTAGACTTCCTTTGAGATTTTCAGAGCGTCTTGAATCTATAGGTTTAAATCTTTCGCCATTTCTGGGGAGTATATGGTTATTATTTCAACTACTTTTTCAGCCCCGATTTTTCTTCTCTCCTTCTGGTACTGATGATGACACAGATTTTAGATTTTTTGTTATAGTACCATAGGTCCATTGTGCCCCCACCATCTTTTTTTAAGTATATTTCCTCTCTGTTCAGAGTTCAGATTTGGTCATTTCTATTGTTTTATCTTCAAGTTCAAGGATTCTTTCTCCTCCATTGCTTCTTTTTTAGTAATTACACTTTTCAGCTCTAAACGATTTCGATTTTCTTTGCTGACCGATTTTTTTTTCATTTATTTCAAGTGTGTTCACAATTACTTGTTGACACTTTCATGACGGCTGCTTTTGAATCTTTGCCAGAGAATTCTAACATCTCTGTCATCTCAGTGTTGTCCTTTCCCCTTTGAGATTCTCCTGACCTTTTCTAGGAGTGAGTTTTGACTGAAACATGGACACTTGGGGTTGCTACGAAGACTGAATCCCATTTCATCTTGTTAACGGCACACCCCCTCCAATAGGGATGGAAAGGCACCACTTAATTACTGCCAGGTTCAGGTTCCTTGCTTGATGTCTGCTGATGCCCAGGGTGGGAGCGCCTCCCAGTCGCTACTTTGTGGGGTGAGTCCCATCATCCATTACACCTCTGCTTACAACACCCTGGTTGGGAGGGGCTGGGGGGGGGGCCTCATTTCTCAGGTGGCCTCCCGTGACACCGACTGCAAGTTCCAGCTCCCTGCCTGGCCTCTGATACCACCCCAACAGGAATTTTGGGGTGTCCCCAGTACAGCCTAGCTAGGAGAGAAGCCTAGGTTCCCAGTTTGGCGTATGTTGGCAAAGTCAGGGTGGTTTCTTCTGTGGTTTGGCTGGAGTTTTTAGTCTTGCTAAGCCATCCCTATTCTGGCCCTTATTTGGGCTTTTGTCTGCTTCTCCAGCACTGGCTGGGAGATGTGAAGCAAAAAGAAATCCATGGAACTCGGTGCAGGTAATCTGCTTTCTCTCCACCTTTCAGGCTTATGCTTGTTTTATATAAAATTTCCAGGGCTGGGGCGCCTGGGTGGCTCAGTCGGTTAAGCGTCAGACTTCGGCTCAGGTCACGATCTCACGGTCCGTGAGTTCGAGCCCGGCGTCGGGCTCTGGGCTGATGGCTCAGAGCCTGGAGCCTGTTTCCGATTCTGTGTCTCCCTCTCTCTCTGCCCCTCCCCCGTTCATGCTCTGTCTCAAAAATAAATAAACGTTAAAAAAAATAAAATAAAATTACCAGGGCTGTATTTAGTGGAAAGGATAAAGGTAAGTTTTCCATCCCACCTTTCCAGAAGAGGAGCTGTTCCACTTTTAATACCATAATAAAACCATGTGAAAATGTACAACGGTACAGCCACCGTGGTAACTGAAATAGCAGTCCCTTAAATTACAAATAGAATTACCACGTGATTCAGCAATTCCACTTCTGGGTATGGACCCCCAAAATTGAAAGTAGGGTCTTAAAGAGAAATTTGTATTCCCATGTCCACAGCAACATTCTTCGCGATAGCTACAAAATGGAAGCAATCCAGCTGTCGGTCCACAGATGAGTAAGAAAAATGTGGTATACTCGTACCATGTAGGATTCGTCAATTTAAAAAGAAAATTCTGAGCTTGAGGACATCTTGCTAAATGAAATAAGCCAGTCACACTGCAGGATTCTACCTATGCGAGTAGTCAGAATCTCGGAAAGTATGCTAATACTTGCCAGGGTTTGGGGGGGGAGGGGCGGGGAACGGGCAGTTGCTGTGTCATGTGAGTAGCGTTTCAGTTCTACGAGAGGAAGAGTTATGGGGAGGATGGTGGTGACAGGTGCACAATGTGAATGTATCTACCACCACGGAAGCACACGCTCACACATGGTTAAGATGGTAAATCTTATGTGTATTTTACCACACACACACACAAACCATCAACGAATTACTTTCTTTCTAATGCGTAATTGGTCTAAGGACAATTTCGCCGATGAGCTGAACTTCAAACCAAGGCCAAATTTGGGCTCTCTTGTTCGCCACAAACAGACCTGATTCTACGTTAGGGCTGACGATGCCGGATACCCAGCGAGGCATTTCAGGCCCAGGATGTACTGAGGCACCGTGCCTGGTGCGTCACAGACTCATGCTCACGTCCCGGGCTGAGGAAACTGGGGTTCGGCAAGTCCCGTGAGGAGCTGCGCAAGGTCATAGCTGGTGAGGAGTAAAGCAGAGGCCGATTCCTGTTTTCTAGAGCCAAGTCCCACAAGGCCACTCATAATCTTTTAAGAAAGGACAGCTCAAAGGTAGGAATAACAAATATTTATTCAGAAATGGGTAAGTAACATACAGTCTCCTCTATCCCTTAATGTCTCTTCCTCTCCTTCTGAACAAGAGATACACGTGAGGAATGTGGAGGGGTGGGAGGTGGAGGGACACAAGGATTGGCCCATCACCTTCTCTTCCATTTCCCATGACGACACCCTACGAAGCAGGGGAGGCCAACAGGCTCCACCCTGCGAAGGACCACACGGCCGTCCGGAGGACAGGGCCCAGATGGCCAAGAGGCTGCAGCTGGGCTCTGTGAACTCTGTGATCACCGGAGCACCTGGCCCGGAACTGGCGGGGGGGGGGGGGGGGGGGGGGGGGGGGGGGGGTGAAGCCATATGCAGGCAGGCGATTTACCATCCCTACTTGAAGCAGAGTCCAAGGAGTGATCCGACTGTCCGCAGTACCTGAAAAACCAGGTCCTACTGCCTTCTGGGTGCTCTCATGGATCAAGAAGGGGAAAGTGTAGGAGGAATGTCTTCCAGATGCTGAGAACTAAGTTTGCACCCGTGCAAAGTGGGGAGAAGGGAAGAAAGGAACAAAAGCAGCATCCTTTAGAGAGCTGGAAGCTGGGGCACCGTCAGGTACATTCCTTGGACTCCTAAGGCCCAAGGGACCTCAGAGCTGGAGGGCTGCACAGTGTTCACAGCCCAAGTCCTTCCTGCTTACCGACAGAACTCTGGAAACATGAGTTTCCAGACTCTTCTTCACTGGGCTGGCCCCAAGCAGGCCATGAAAGACTCTTTAGTGTCTCAGGTCCCCTTTACTTCCTAGACTTGTGCCTTTCACGGCACTCGCTACGGATTCTGTAGCGCTCCAGAGCCCTGCTGCCCAGCTCGCTCCAGCTCTCCCAGCCCGGATTCCCTCAAAGTCCCAACAAAGCAGCAGCGGAGATGGAGAATGCCCCTGGAGCCATGCTGTCCTGGTATTCAGGGGCTGCCCCTGGGGGCTACGGTTCTGCCCCAACTGCCTGGAACCACGCTGAGGGAACAACCTACCAGCTTGCCTGGAAGGGCTGCTCTGCTCTCTCAACACCCCCCACCCCCCACCACCAAGGCCACCCGCCACTCCTGTGCCCTTTACTGCCAAGGCAGGAAAAGACCCCTCTGGTCACGAATGGATGGGTCACTCCCAACAATGGGAACAGTGCCCCTTGGTGGTGGCTGGATCTGTGCCTCTCTCAGCATCCCCACTGTCCTGCAGGCATCTGAGGCCAGAAAAAGCCAGGAGCAAGACATTACTCCCATTCAAATAATCCCCCAGACCCTCAGTGTCACAGAACAATAATAGCCAGACCTTTATATAAAAAAACAAGACAAACCCAACTAGTGGAGAGCTGGCATTTGCACCCAAGCCTTGCACCCAAGGTACGAAGAGGGCCGTGCCAGGTGAGCACTGGGAAGGTGGCCAGCCCCTGCCCGCAACGATACTGAGAAGGCTGAGAGCTGGGGCGGGGCACTAGGCTTAACCCAAAGAATGGGAACTGTGAACTGGAGAAGTCACCAAGTCACCTGAGACGGCACAGGCCCTCGAAGCCAAGGGCCGGGAAGGCTCTTCCTAGTGGCGCAGCAGCACCCCCTGCCGCCCCTGCTGCGTGGCCCCGCCCGACCACACGGGTCTAGAGCCAGTGGCTGTGAGAGCACCCAGGCCGCCTGCAGTGACCAGGCAGGTGAGCGGCCCAGCTCCGGAGTGGACCTGGCTTCCGCTAGGATGGCAGGGGCGCCCTTCCTCACTCCGCTTGAAAGTTTAAAAACAAGAAAGGGGAGGCAACTCCTCGCCTCCTGGAGAAAAAAAGTGTCCTTCAAAGAGGCCCTTCCCTGCACTGCATGGGGCCACACGAAAGCCACCCAGAGAATTTAGGGTATCATTTTCAGACAAGGAATCAGTTCAAATTAGGGGCTCAAATTAGGGGTAGAGACGCTCTGAGCCACACAAGCCTACCCTGGTGATGAGGTGGAGGGAGAAGAGACAGACTACAGGAAACATTAACGCACAGAGGAGCACAGGGTAGAACACAACACAGAAAGGTGGGTTCCGTCCAGCGAGGAAGCTCTCTACCCCTGGCGACCCTTCCCACGCTCAGGGGCCTCCAGTCCGACGGCCCATTGGTCACAAGCTTCGCTTTAGGAAACAGAGCCACCCTCCTCTGCCCCTGCTTCTGGCTGCCTCACTCCCCTGCTCAGAGTTTGATTTTGAATTCTGTGGGCTGTGTAGTCACAGAGGCCCCTGAGGACTTGAAGAGCGCTTTCAGGATGGTGTCAGGGTCCACTTCGGCAGGAGGGTTGGAGGAGGCAGTAGAATTCACCCTGCGAGGCAACTCACTCTCCTTTTTCACTGAGGGGCTGTCACTCAGCCGTCTGTGGAGAGCAGAGAAGAGTCAAAATCCTTGTCAGTTCTCCCTCGGATGGGGAGGGAACCCACCATTTACCAAGCAGGTTACAAAAGCTGGGCGCCGAACATAACGCTCTCCACACCCCTTGATCTCATTACATTCTGTAGCCTGTTGTGATCAGGGGTTTTAGGTTTAGGAAACGCTCCGTATGTCCTTGAGGGGTGGTCACACACGTCAGCTTAGTATGGATTTGGAGAAGACTTGAAGTACAGAAACTGAATTCACTCCGTTTAGCGCAATGGTTCCCAAACTTATTAGGTCATTAAAACCCTCATTTTTCAGAATACAACTTATTCCTGGAATACAGCTTTAAAAACTTGTCCAAATCACACAATTCAATATCTAAGGTTCAAATCCTGGTCCTTCTAAATTTCAACGTCCGTCTGCCTGCCCCACCGACCTTGGCAAGTCTAATATCCTCCTGAGGTTTTTGTCTCCTCACCTATAAAAGATATCCTGCCAGGCTACATTTTATGCATCTCAGGCTCTGAAAAATCTTCAGTCCTGGGCCAGGCATGTATGTGCAGGTGTAAAAAAAAAAAACAGGGCTGGCACCGGGTACTGTCTCCATCAGGGTCAATGACAAGGAGGTGGGAGTTTTCCAATCACCTGGGTGGTGCACACAGCTGTACAAAGGACACAAGTGGCCTGCTCTCCACTTCCTTCTGAGGTATTTCTAAATTATAAAGCTGAGGACAAGGTCTTAACGCTAGCTTGTGGGGTCAACCCCTGCGGAAATGACAAGATGTCTCACTTTGTACAAAATTCAGCACTCCGACTGACCACGTGCCAGCAGAGCGGAGGAAACGGAACAGAGGAAAGCGGTTCTGCAGGCAAGTTACCCCGAGGAGAGGAGACAATCACACAGAGTAAACAAGGAGATAAGCTCCACTCTGTCCCCAGCACCACTGCCTTTGGAACTTACAGCAGAATGGGCTGGTCTGAGGTGATAACGTTCCCATTCATGTGAAGGTTGCACTTCATTGGTTGTCCTGAAAAAGAGCAAAAAAGAGAAAGCTCTGCCATGAGATTTCGGCCTAGGACAAAAGGCCAAGGGCTGTGACCTCTGCACCCACCACTGGCAGCTCTGGCTCCGTGACCGTGACCGTGACTGGGGGTGGAGCGGCCAGGCTTTGGGGATCCCAGGCTGAGGGCTATGAAACCTCAGCAATGACAGCACCAAAATGCAAAGTGGCCAACATTCCTTGCTTCTAGCAGAAGATGAGAACCGAAAGGAAGGGAGACACTGAACTCTGTGACGCAGTCTAAACTTCTTTGTGAAGCAGTAAAGGAAAATGTTTACGTGACGAAACTAAGTGAAAAAAGAATTCAAAAGTGAATATACACACTTCTACTTCGTCTATGAAGAATTAACTGTGACAAGTACTGCGCTGCTACTTTGCACGCTATGTGACTAGCACTGCAGTAACAGCACAAGAAAGGGGGGAAGAAGGAATACAGCTAAGTAGGAGTAACACTTTTATATCTCACTAGAATTCGGTATTTATCTGAAATAGACTCTGAGAAGTTACAACAAACACTATGAACCCTTGAGCAGTAAGATAGTGACTCAAAAAACATGGTGAAAAAATTTTTAAAGGAACTAAAATACCACACTAGAAAATATTCATATAATGTAAAAAAAAAAAAAAAAAAAAAAAAAAAAAAAAAAAAAAAAAGCCACATTAAATGCGAATGGATTAATAATCCAATCAAAAGGCAGGGACGGTCAGACCGGATTTAAAAAAAAAAAAAAAAAATTCAACAATATGCTACCTATAGGAGACAGACCTTAGATTCAAAGATACAAAAAGGTTGAAAGTGAAAGGATGGAAATAAACATATTCCCCAAATAGCAACCCTAGGAAGCTGAAGTGGCTATTCCAATATAAGACAAAACAGACTTTAGAACAAAAAATGTTATCTAGAGACAAATACGAACATTTTGTAATGATAAAAGGTCAATTCACCAGGAAGAAAACCATTATAAACATAAATGCAACTAACAGACCTTCAAATACACAAAGCAAAACCGCAGAATTTAAATAAGTGAACAATATAGCTGAAGATTTCAATACTTTACTTTCATTAATAGATACAACAACCAGGCAGAAGACCAAAAAGGAAACAGAAGATTGTAAGTCACCTAGACCTAAGAGACATCTACCAGCAGCAAAGCACATATTCTCCTTGAACACTTATGGAACAGAGGAAATTTGGCTAATTCACAAATATATGAAAATTAAACAAAACAGTTCTAAATAACCAACGGGTCAAAGAAGAAATCACAAGGGAATTCAGAAAATACTCAAAGGTGAATGAAAATAAAGACACAATATACGAAAATATATGGGATGTAGCTAAGGCCCTGCTTAGAGGAAAACATACACCTGTAAATGCATACATTGAACACAAGAGTGAAAAGACAACCTACAGAATGGGAGAAACTACTGGCAAATCACTTATCTGATAAGACACATATTAAAAATATATAAAGAATTCTTTTAGGGGTGCCTGGGTGGCGCGGTTGGTTAAGCATCTGACTCCTGATTTCAGGTCAGGTCGTGATCTCACGGCTCACGAGATCGAGCTCCGCACTGGGTTCCGTGTTGACAGCGCAGAGCCTGCTTGGGATTGTCTCTCTCTACCCCTCTATCCCCACCCTCTCAAAATAAAGAAACAAACATTAAAAAAAAATTCTTTTAAACTCAAGAAGTATGCAAATAGCCCAAATAATACATTTCTCTAAGATATACAAATGGTGAATATGCACATGAAAAGACACTCAACATCATTCACCATCAGGGAAACGCAAGTCAAAACCCCACCAGCTGTCTATTAGTCTCTGCATCGATGTACACAATAAATACACAAATTATTCAATAAACACAGAAAGAACAGAACAGTGGAGAAAAGTGGCATGGCAGACAGAGTTTCTCTCTACAGGCTAACCCGAGATAAACAATGTGACTCTGAACTCAGTAAAATCAGTAGCTTACTCCCTAGAAGCAGAGCTCACCCAGGTGCTAACAGTTAGACAAGGCTTCAGGCCTTTTAGGAACCTGTTTCCTAGCAGCAATCAGACCAACATCTGGAAGGAGGAGGCTAGGACTCTTGGCTTCCCCGGCAAGACCTCTTAAGAGAACTATCCATGGAGAAATGGCATTTCTCTGCTTGCTAGAGTTATGGAGTAGAGCTGGATGAAAACCTGTAAAACAGGCAGCCCAGGGTACTGCACGTCCCTATGTTCTTGGTGCAGAGGAAATCCCAGAGGGATGAACGAACCAGGAGCCCCTCCCCACCCCCCATCTCAGAGGAAGGCCTACTCTGATGGCCTGCTGCTTGATACCAACGAGCAGCAGGACGGTAAGGTGGCTGCTTTCTCCCGGACTCACCATCCAAACACCTGTTGTTATACTTCTTATATGCCGTAATGGCATCATCCTTCTTCACGAAGACCACCTCTGCTACCCCAGGATGGACCAGCCGAGCCCTTTTGAGGGCTCCACACACACAGAAAAGCTCCTGCAAAGAACAAGAGGGGTTAGCAGCATCATAGGAGAATTTGGGGCCGTTATACTGCCTGCCTGCCGTTCACACACTCCAAGGGACTCTGGGTAGACTGGTGGCTACACTCCAGTTGAATATGCCCAATGCCCAGGATTTCAGGGAGGTGCCATTTTAGGTGCCTCTCACTGTGGGACCAGATGAGGGGACAAGCTGAGCTGGCGGCAAGAAATGGGTCTGGGCTTATAAGCCTTGGAGTCCCTCCGCCCCCACCAGGGCATCCCAAAGTCCTGCTTCGGCATCCACTGTCTCAACAGAATTTCTCTGAGAGCTCTGTCATGAAAAGGAACATGTAGGCTCATCACAGGTAGTGGTTGCTGTCCCCTGGGAATGTGCAAGTTACTTCTCTGACAATGAGTTTTCTCTTCTGGGGGAAAAAGAAAAAAAAAAAGGAAGGTCTCACCTACTTCCCAGGGCTGCTGAAAGCCCAAGTGAAGTCATTTTTCAGGGCAGTGCTTTGTACACGTGTCACTGCCAGCACCATGTCCTCTGACGCCTCATCGTGTCTTGCAGAGCAGGAGGTGAGGCCAGAGAAGGAACATGGAAATGGCCCACGGAGGCCGACTCCCACCCATGCCGTTTCTGCACTAGTAACTCCCTTCACAAGGTTGTTATGAGGACAAAAAGGCTTACAAAAAAGTCACAGAATGATTTGGTTTATTTTATTTAAAAAAATTTTTTTTAAATGTTTATTTATTTTTGAGACAGAAGAAGGAGATAGAGCCATGCAGTGAGGGCACAGAGAGGAGAGCATTACAGAATCAAGCAGGCTCCAGGCTCTGAGCTGTCAGCACAGAGCCCTCGGCGTAGGGCTCAACTTTCATGACCGTGAGATCGCGATTCGAGTCGTAAGTCGACGCTTAACCGACCGAGCCACCCAGGCGCCGCTGGAATGATTTTTTTTTTTTTAAAATTTTTAACGTTTATTTATTTTTGAGAGAGAGAGAGACAGAACAGGGGAGGGGCAGAGAGAGAGGGAGACACAGAATCCAAAGCAGGCCCCAGGTTTCCGAGTCAGTCAGCACAGAGCTGGAAGGCGGGCTCGGAATCACGAATCAGGAGATCGCGGACTCGGAGGTTTGACGCTAAACCGACTGAAACGCACCCACACAAATTCCCCAATGATTTGTTTTTAATGATAAAGTGGAAAATGTTAAATTCCAAAACCAAAATGTGGAACCGAATACTAAGCGTGATCCCAACTTCATTACGTTGTTCACATCGCTACTCGTGTCGGTAAAGACGGGAGGGTGGCTACTACCAGCAGTTTACTCTGCGTGGTGGTGAGCACAGGCAGTCAGTTTCCACAACCCTGCATACAAAGTACCTGCCACCTAGTAAGTGCTCAATAGGGGCGCCTGGGTGGCTGTCGGTTAGGCGTCTGGCTCTTGATTTCAGCTCAGGTCACGATCTCATGGTCCTGGGATGGAGCCCCGTGTCAGGCTCTGTGCTGACAATGCGGAGCCTGCTCTGGATTCCCACCCCCCCCCCCCCCCCCCCCCCCCCCAACCGGCCTTCCCCCGCGTGTGTGCGCCTTTCTCTCTCTAATAAATTTAAGAAAAACAAAAACAAGTGTTCGATAAATGGTAGCTATTACTACTTCTGTAATCAGGAAAAAAAATGTTTTAATCCCTTATTAATTCATGAAGTATTAGACAAAGTAGGCTACAACCTCCACCGTGCATACCATTCCCTGGTGAGCCTGCTTCCTTCTCAAAGCCATCACACAGCAGTCACGTTTCACAACCGAAACCACTGTCAAGCGAGGCGGCCACTATGGGCTGTGACTGAATTTGGTGCGTTCATTCCGTGATCTGACAGTTCACAGCTAAAAGGGGACCTGGACTTTTAAACTTATGGTGGGGTTTTTTGGCGCCCAAATGAAAACGAGGCAGACAAGCAGTGCCGGCTGGACCCGGCCGCCTGCTTCCCAGGTTTAGGTTCTGTCCATGAACTAAGGGTGGGACAGGACAGACCAGGGCAATCTAGAAAAGCCAACCACCAAGCAACACCAATCCATCCCATTCCTTTTACTTTGGAATCATCGTGAAAACCCCTGGAGGAGGCAGAAGTTCCAAAGGCTCACAGGAAGATAGGAACCACCGGACTTTACGCCACGGAACAAGAGGATCTCATTTGAGACCCATCCAGCACGGTGCCCTGGCCCTGATTTAGAAGTTGTGAAGAAGAGAGTTGACACAGCCGGTCCGACTGCTATCTTCTCAAAGACCGGCTTCCAAGGCTGCGTCCTGGCTGGTGTCTGGGAACTTGGAATTTGGGACTCCCACCACCCTAATCGATAAGAGTGGTTCACTGAGCCTAAACTGTGCAAACGATGTGGTTTATGCTGAACACCTGCTTTCCTCCGGGGCATTTTGGAATGCTGGTACGCACTGGCAGAGGGTGCCTACGTAACTAGTTCCTAATAAAAACCCTGGCACTGAATCTGTAATGAGCTTCCCTGGTTTCACGCGTCACAACTCGTTGCTGGGAAAGAGAGTGCGTCCTGACTCCACGAGGAGAAGAATCCAGAAATTTGCACCTGGACCCCCGGCCTTTGCCCCACGAGCCTTTCCCTTTGCTGATTTTGCTTTGGATCCTGTAATAAACCCTGGGCCTAACGTGACTCCACGCGGAGTCCCGTGAGCCCTCCTAAAGAACCAGCAAACCTGGCGGTGGTCTTGGGGGCCCCTGACACAGAAGCGGCTTGAGATGTAAGATTCTGGCAGGATACAGTACTCACCACGATGTCCTCCTCAGTGACTCGAGGGTGCAGATTGTTCACTGTCATCTTGGTGCCTTCCAAGGGGCTGAGGACAGGCTGCCAGACAAGACAGTTACCAGAAGTCACACAACAGCTATGCGCTCAACAGCAGCACGTGCTCTGGGCCAGCGGCCAGGAAGGCCCAGAGGAAACCCCCCTAGAGGCCCCACCACCCCACGCTAAGGGCCGGAACCTCTCATCACCTCCCAGATATGCCAGACACTTTCAGGCCTCTGAGCCTCTCCACGGAATGCCACTCATGTTTCAAGACCCACCCGGCTCAGGTGGACCTTCTCCTTGAAGCCTTCCTCGCTTGCCCAGGGGACCAATGCTTTGTCCTCAGTGCTCCCGGCAGCTCTCCTCTGGACAGACCTCCGTTCTACCGCCAGACAAAACTGCTCTGTCTGCACCTCTGTCCTCCCCACTCGCCTGCAGGCAACCGAAGGGCAGGGGCCACCGGGTCTCGGTCTGCTCGCTTGTGAAATGGAGGTGGCCACGTCTGCCTACCTCACGGAGGTGCCGTGAGGACGCGACACGGTACGCACAACACACTGCCCACCCAGCACGGCCTGACTCTCCACTGGTATGCTCGCTTTCTCTCCTTCACCTTCACCTCACCTCAGCAGGCGGCAGCTCTTTGGGAGGCTCCTCCTTGTTCACTAGCGTCCGAGACATGTTGGTCAAGGCTTTTGTTCGAACAGAGGAGGGGAGGGCAGGAGCTGTGTATGCATCATTCTGAACCACTTTGGTGAGAGGGAGGGCCTTGGACACGGAGAACTTGGAACTGCTCAGCCCGGCCTAAACAAGAGGCAGACAGGAATCTGAGGGGCTAGAGAAGAAGGGGAGAGAAAAGCCCTAAGGGGCTCACGACCGCCACCCCCGAGCCCTCCCGGCTCCACAACTCCCTTAGAGGTCTGGAGCCAAAAAAGGTTGCCAGGGACTTCCCCCAAGGAACGGGCGGGAGGGGAGAAACACAGTTTGTGCTCACAGAAGCCACTCTCTAGTGCAGAAGTCCTTGGTGAGAAACTTCCATGCAGGCCTGATCTGAAGCCACAGGCCGACCCATACCGTGTAGGCTTTATGAAAACCCTATGATTTGGGGCTAAGCAGAAGGCCGAGAGTTTGGGGTCAAGTTCATTCCCAGACCTGCTTCTCACACAATGGGCTGATTATCAGTTCTGCGCTGGCTAGGCACAGGAACCCACTCTTAAGAAGGCCCAGACTCCCAGCTTTTTGGTCCCCGTTTCGACCACACAGAGGCACCATGCAGAGCCCTGGCCCGATCAGCTCCCAGACCGTCAGGGACAGGCTGCCAGAGCTGGTAGGTGCAGACCAGCAGACGCAGTTCCCTCCCTCCCCTGCTGTCCCTGACGGGGGATGTGGTCCCTTGGATATATAAGCCAGTCAACTCCCGGGTGTTAGCGCGTCTGAGGAAAAAGATGTCGGAGGCAGAAGCGGCAGGGCTGATTCACCAGCTTCTCTGAATCAAATGACGTGTCCACTCCTCACGCTCGACTCCACATTTCTCAAGCTGCTGAGTCTTGAGAGCCAGTGCAGTGAGTGTAGGGGTCATACGCAGGGCCTGGGAGCCAGACTGCTTGAGCTGGAATCTCAGATCCACTATTTATAAGCTGGGTGATACTGACTGTATTTAACCTCTCTGTGCCTGATTCCTCATCTGTAAAACAGGAACGACAGTAGTACCCACCTCACCGGGTGGGTGGGAAGGGGAGTCTTAAATTGGTTCACACAAACCCTGCATTTTTTCAATCAGGGTGAGCCACAAACCGAGCCAGCCGACACCCCCCCGGCAGCAGACCTCAGCAATGCAACCAGTGCAAAGGCCCAGTGCCTGTAACAAATCGGCAACCTTCAGCTTCACGCATCACTTTAAGAACTTCAGTGGTAACCAGGTGCAAACTGGTCCACACATTTCAACGCAGTGACAACACGGAGTCTTTGGGTCTCTGCAGGCCAAACAAAGGCCCTTGGCTCGGGTGGCCCCTGGCCGCCCTCCCCGTAACCGGCTATACCCGCTGACGCCGGCCTCCCTGCCATTCCAGATACTGCTCTCTCTGCTTCTCTGCGTGGCATCTGACCAGCACCCAGTCTTGCCCTGCAAGCGGGCTGCACGTGGTGGAGAGCACAGGCAAGGTCGTTTATTCTTGCTCACACCGACTGGGGGAGTCCAGTTTCAAAAATGGAACTGGAGGGAAGGAGAACACACAGAACATTCTGCCACAGAGGAAAGAAAACGGGATTCCCTCCCGTGTGATCTCACACTTCCCCCGAAGTGCCTCCAGCAGCAACTGGAGGGTGTAGCCTCACACTTCACTAGCTGCGGGCCCTTGCACACGATCACCGGCCACTCTGGTCTCAGCACTTATGAAACCAGCCACTGGATCAGTTCCAGTTCCGAAAACCTTAGCACCCAAAGGAAGAAAGATTTCGGAACCGAAAGGCCATACACTCGCCCACGTCTCCCACCCACCCGATCTGCTATGCATGGCGAGTGCAGGAAAAACATAAAATGCCTTACCACGTGGTGGAGAAAGCTGCTTGAGGCTGCAAATTTCATCTGTTTACTGGGAATGGGAGCTACAGCGTCATCATCGTCCTCCAGGTCGTATACGTTCTGAAAAGAAAGAACAGCTAACGTGGCCTACGGGCTCTCGACAGACCTTTGGAACAAGGACAGCAAGACATGGAGGTGAATGATGGATGGAAAAGCGGGTGTGTGTGTGTGGGGGGGGGGGGGGGGGGGGGGGGTGCCTGGGGAGACTGGCCCGGGAGGCCAGGGTTCAAATCCTGATAGGCTGGCTCCTCACCCACAAGGACCCCACGAAAGTGCTGCAACCTCCAGGTACATTAGAGTTTCCTCTCCACAAGTGGGCAACACCTAGAAACACTTGCGATGTTTGTTTACAATCTTGGCTTAGAAAGTCCATCCCAGGCAGTCTGGCCTACAGAAATAAATCCAACCCCTAGAAAGAGCTCCAGCCACAACCATGTTCACAGAAGGATTTCTAACAGTGAAAATTACAGGAAAATGGCTTAAGTAAACTGGAACATCAGCTCAAAGGACTATGCAGTTATTAAAAACGTTCACAGTAAATGTGAATCAGAGAAGTGCTTGAGTTATAAAGTGCAAACAGAATGACAGAAAATCGAATAATAATATAACCACAACTACAGCTATGCATTAACTAAACAATAACGACACTTAAAAGGAACCAGGGCAGAATTTCAACAGCAGCTGGCTTTGGAGAGCAGGACCAAGAGGGACTTTTTTTTTCCTTTTTAATCTTTCTCTGTTTTGCAGTGTTCTGTATTAAGCACATACTACTATTTTTAATGTTTATTTTTGAGAGAGATAAAGAGACAGAGTACAAGCTGGGGAGGGGCAGAGAGAGAGAGAGAGAGAGAGAGAGACAGAGAGAGACAGAGAGACAGACAGACACAGAATCCGAAGCAGGCTCCAGGCTCTGAGCCATCAGCGCACAGCCCAACACGGGGCCCAAACCCACGAACTGTGAGACCATGACCCGAGCTGAAGTCAGACGCTTCACCAACTGAGCCACCCAGACGCCCCCCGCACACACTACTTTTATAATAAAAAAGAGAAGACTTTCAATCTGCCTCTCTGCCCCTTAAATACTCACCCCCCCCCACCCCCATAAGAAGTTTCTTTTTAAAAGTCATAAACTGCAAGAAGCTAAATGTAATTTCTCCAATTCTTCACACTGGGAACCTTGGCCAGGCCTCAGTTCATCCACTCAGAAGAGTCCATCAAAACACACACGTGTGCACACACTCTCTCTCTCTCACCTGCTTGGCCGGGTGGTTATTGACAACATTGATCCTCATTCCAGCAGGATGGGTGTGAAGGGGTGCCATGGCCTTCTGCTGTGGAACCTAGAAAACCCAGAGACCAGAATTCATCCCCTGGGGTCCACACGTGTCCTTCCATGCGTCAGGAATCACTGAACGTGAAGTATGGTAGCGCTCAGTTTGGGTCTGTGGTAAAAAGCCCTAGAGTGCCTCATGTCCAAAGCAGGAGTGACAGAAAGCCTCGTCATCCTGCTCGACGAGCCTGGCTCGATACATCCGCAGCCGCTACTCCTGTCACCAAGGTTGCTGCGAAGGTTGAAGGATACTGTTTTCAACCCCCTGGGCAGCTGTGCTAGCGGCCAGGGCATGGGACAAGGAGTCGGGTGTGACCAGGCTCCTACCCGGTCCTCCCATTCACCGGTTGTGCTAGCCCTGGGCACCATAATTCACAATTGAGACCTCGAGTCTTCTCTATAAAACTGGGGTAATGGGGCGCATGGGTGGCTCAGTCGGTTGAGCGTCTGACTTCAGGCCGGGTCATGATCTCACGGCTTGTGAGTTCAGGCCCCGCGTCGGGATCTGTGCCGACAGCTCAGAGCCTGGAGCCCACTTTGCATTCTGTATCTCCCTTTCTCTCTGCCCCTCCCCAGCTCATGCCCTCTCTCTTTCAAAAATAAATTAAAAACAAAACAAAACAAACAACTGGGGTAATGATCCCAGAGTTGCAGGAGAAATAAGTAAGTGCCTGCCACACAGCGCGTGCTCCACGGCGTCCGTCCTCTCCCTGCTCTTCCCTCCATCGCTAGCTCTCTTGAGAACGTCACTTACTTCTGCCGCAGCCCCCTTTCCTCTCCGCGAAACTCGCTGAAAACCCCGCCTCCCTCACAGGGTTACTATCCAAACACTCGGGAGAGCTGTCATTTTGCCCAAACACTCCTGGCCCCCACCGCCTGTTCCCGCCTTCCCAGGAGAGCCACGCCTACCTGGATGGTTTTGGTGAGCTTCAGGGCAGGGGTCACTGTCCCAATGGGTGGGCTCATGAAGGCGGCTGGGGAGTTCCGCTTCAAGCTGATCTTCTCCCGGGCATCGGCCACCTGGCGGGGCTTCTGGGGCACCGCGCTCTGCTGCTTGCGGGAGTTCAGCATCTCTCTGGCATCCTGCACTTTCCCTTTGATCCGGAACCGAGCATCTTTCTGCAGAAGCTTTTCCCGGGCATCCTTGACCCCCAGCTTGAGCCGGGCGTCTGAGAGGCCGATCTTCTGCCGGGCATCAAACCTCTGCTGGAAGGTGGCTGTGCGTGCTGGCTGGCTGAGAAGGCTCTGCTGGGTCCCAACACGAGATCGAACACCTCCAATTCCTGGTCTGGCATTGAGACTGCAAGTACAAATTGCACCTTAAGTGGATCTGGGTGTCGAGAGCGGCCCATGGAAGTAGAGCCATCGTAATACTGGGAAGAGAGGGAGTTTCTGGAGAAACCAGAAGTCTGCTCGCTGAGCAAACAGGCTTATGTTGAAACTTCTTTTCTGGTTCATGACTTTTAACTTTGCATTGCAAATAAAATTCGGAAGAGGGGCCTGGCGGTTTCGATCACCAGGTAACACACTGGTTTCCTCCCTAGACCAGGTGTTCTGAGACGTCATTAGGAACAATAACCTCCAAATGATGCTGGTCCCAAAAAAAGGCATATCCCCCAAATATTGTAACCCCACACAGGGGAAGAACGACTTCAGTTTCCAAAGTTCTTCACAGGCTTGCTCTCAGTCAGCCCTCTCAGCACCCTGTGGGGTGGGTCAAACAGGCTTGGAGAGATTCAATGATAAACAAAAGACACCAGCCTGCCTTCGGTGGTCCAGGTCTCCAGGGCCAGCACAAGATCCCCACTGGGCTGGGAGCAGGAGCCACCCGCTAACAGGTAGAAAAGAAAAACAGCCACTTTGTCTGAATTGTTTCCACTCACAACACTTCTGACACCAAAAGTGTGGGTGTTCTTCTGACATCAACGCTTCTCAAACCTTCTAGACATCACCGGGTGTCCTATGATTCAACTCTGACACAACATACCCAGAGTCTGCGCAGACCCCACAGGTTACGGGCTCAGTCCCCCAGGACGGCCCTCACTTCAGATGCCACTCCCAAGTCCTGGGCTTCCCATCCTTCTGACAGACTAAAACTGAGGGGGACCCACGCCCGCTCCTCAAGTTCGGTAAGTTGCTAGAGTGGCTCACAGAATGCAGCAGAAATAGTTTACGCGCTACCATTAGTTTGTTATGAAGGATACAACTCAGAAACAGCCAAATGGAAGGGGTGCGGAGTTCCCATGCCCTCTTGGGGTGCACCACCCTCCCAGCACATACACGTGTTCACCAACCCAGAAGCTCCCCAAATTCCACTGTACAGGGGTTTTTATAGAGGTTCCATTATATAAGCAAGGTTGAATGGCTGGCCATTGAGGACAGCCTCCGTCTCCCTGGAGGGCGGGGGGCGGGGAGGACTGCAAGTTCCAATGAACCATGCCTAGGTCTTCCTGGTGACCAGCCCCCATTCTGAAGCTAGCCAGGGACCCAGCAAAAGCTACCTCATTAGAACAAAAGATGCTCCTACCACCCTTATAACTCAGGGTTTTAGGAACCGTGGGCCAGGAACCAGGGATAAAACCAAGTACGTGTTTATCACACTCTGCAACAACAAGAATGTCAAATCCAGAAACTGTTAAAATCGGAAATGAACCAAACTCCATTACACAGGCCTCATTTGCTTGCGGGGTTCCTCTGTTGGCCCTTCAGTGGCTCGTGAGTAAAGAGAAGGCTCTTCCAAGTACAATCCTGGAAGTCCTTCCTGGGGTCCGCAAGCTTCTCCCTCACCCCCCCTGCCCACCACACCACGAGGCCGGTCTACTCCAGCCGCTGCCGCCACCACCACTGCCCCCACCCTCGCGGCGGGTGCCCTGCCTGGGACTCTGGCTCCCAAGGCAACATCTCCTCTGAGGGAAACCGTCCTTCTCTGCTTGTTCCGGGACAGCCCTCCTCTGTGCCTCCAACTCCATCTGCTAGTTTTCTCTTCCCCACTGGACTGGGAGGGGAGATCGGGGCTCATTCTGTTTCAGGGCCCGGTGCTTTACAGGCGGTGCTGAAACCTGGCTGAGCTAAGTTAGAAACTCTGGTGGAGCTGCTTAAAAACACAGCTGTCTAGACTCCGTCCTCACAGCTCCTAAATCCAAAATCTGGGTGAAGGCCTGGGAATCTGCACTTTTGACTCCATAGGTGGTCCTGGATTAGACGGCAGTGTTCAGAATCTCGGACCTGGGGTCAGAAGGCAAAATTCTGCTGAATAAACAAGTTCCCGTAGGGCCTCCCACATCTGTGTCCAGGCCTCCCAGGAGGCCTCCTAGTACTCCCGCGGGCCTCCGCAGCCGCCTGGGGACTGTCCCGCAGCTCCTGTGCTCACAGCAGGAGCGTACCCAAAGAACCAGCCAAGGCAAGCCTGGACTTTCACCCGGTTATCCTCAGACTGGAGGAGACACACCTGCTGCCCCCAGCATGCCAGAACACTGCCCGAGACCGTGATGCGCGGACCAATTTTCTTTGGAAAACAGCAAATTATTTTAGGATTTAAATACTTTCCAGTGGGTCTATACAGGAACTGGGTGGAAGAGAGAGAGAAAGGATCATTTACAGAACTGATCCGATTAGGTTTAAGGTGGGGGTGGGGCTGCTTGTCCGTCCCTGTCCCGTTTTCTCCTGTAGAGGCAGGGGCTTAAAAAAAAAAAAAAAAAAAAAAAAAAAAAAAAGGCAAAGCCAAAAGGCTGGGGTGTTTAGGGAGGCCAGCAAGCACGACGAGGGAGAGAGGAACAGACAGCACCCCCCACCCCCCTGGAGTGGCCTGCCCTCAGTTTCATGGTCAGCGAGGTCTCGGCAATAGTGGAGCTGGGCTTTCTGGCGGCACCGAAACCCACAGCTACTGGAGGGGCCCCTGGTGTTTATGGAGGGAACAACACCCGCTTCCTAATAAAGCCCTACCCGCAGGCCCAACTAGCTGGTGAGGTGACCCCACTGTTTTTGTTTGTTTTTTAATGCCTTCAGCTCCCTACATCTCCCTACACCCATCAAAGAAAAGCAACAGGCTGTCTGTGCAGACCAGGAGCTACGACTGAAGGCCTACTCATAAAATGGGGAAAAGGATTTTGATCAACCTTTACTGGCCAGATCCAGGAGAAACCAGTGTCAATGGAAAGCACTCCAGATAAAACTGTCTGCTTACCACACAGGGGACCTCTCTGAAGCCACAGGCTTTGGGCTGGGGAATCAAGTCACCACACAGAGCATGGTGAGGAGCACTCCCGCTCTAGGAGAGGAAGGCTCACGCCTGTGGGGACACCACGAGCCGCCAGACACACCTGTGGGGCAGCAAGAAAACTTAGACGCGGCCCCGGGTGTTTGGGAAGAGCAGAGGGTGTCAAAGGTCACACAAACAGCCCACCGTAGCCTGCAGCCTCTTTGCCCTCACAGCTCCGGTGGGTTCCCCGGTTCCTGCCCTCCTGAGCACTCCCTCCTCGCCTCCCGGCTGGCCGGAAGCTTCCCTCCTTGGGGGAGGTCAAGCCCAGTTGCCGGCGCTGAATCACAAGGACCTGTTCCCAAGCCCGCACCTCCTGCAGCACTAAGAGCCTCTGTAAACCCTGCCATCTCCTCACCTGGGTCAGCCCTGCACCAGGGGAATAAAAAAAGGCTCAAAGAGCTTTCCAGTTGTGAGCTCCCGCCAAGTGGTGTCAGGGACCCTACAGCTGCCCCACCCCCGTATATTCTCCTTTCACGCTCACAACTGTGAGGATTAGGTTATTATCCACATTTCACAGACGATGTCCTGGTGAAGGCTGGTCTTCACTGCATCTACTTAAAGCACCAATAAATGAAGCATGGGTCAAGGATAAAGACCAGAGACTTAGGAGTTGAAGAAGGGGGAGTGCTGTCCCAGGCTAAGGAAGATCTTAGGCCCCCAGACCCGTCCAGGACCACAGCACACTCCCTAGTGACCAGGGGGTGAGCACACACACACCGAGCGTGGCACAGCGTGCTCACTCTGGCCCCATGTGCCACACTGCCTGTCTGGCAGGAAAGGCCACCGAGATGCCTCGGGCCGGTCTTTCTATCTCCGTGAACAGCACAAAAGGTCCATCGGGGAGGGAGGGCATGTAGTTGTGGATGTGGGAGCGCGAGTGAGCCGCTTCCCCGCAGTCCCCCGCACTCAATCCCCAGTCCTTTCAGCTCCTTTCCCAGCAGCTTTAGGGGCTTCAGTGTGCAGGCTTTTTATAATCGCCGCCCCTCCTCCTGCATGAAAGGACAGCCATTCATCCCAGCGGGCAGCAGCGCTGGGTACAAGGCAGGCATTAGTCATCAGGAATTTTTCAAATAAACACTCCTGCTAGGTCCGGGTCTCCAAAACACAGAGTCCGCGGTGTTACCCTCCGGTTCCAAGAACCGCCCGAGGGCTCCCTAACAAAGCCCAGCCCCTCAGCGGAGCCTCTGGTCTGGCCCGGCTTCCGCCTGCAGCCTCACTGCAGACTCGCCCGAGGTCCCCGAAACACGTTCTGGCCTCAGCACTTGTTGGGAAGGGGCAGGGGAGGTTTTGAGCAAGTCTCTGGACTCTGAACTGCCCCACCCGGCTCTGCCCTGGCTCCGGAGCCCCACGGGGTCCTGGGGAGAGCGCTGTGGGTGAGAGCCAATGCCCCCACCCTGGAATCTCAGCGCCTGCCCCAGACCTCACTGGAGCCCCGGGTGCTCTCCCCCACACCCTGACCCGAGCCGGCTCTGGACAGATGTCTAGTCCAAGGATCCGGGCCCATTAGTGGGGCCCTGGGTTGTTATTATAAAGTGGATTTTAATCCACGGGCATCTCTGGGTCACGGTTCATGTGTGTCGAGGTCATCTTTATGTGGAGGAAACACACTTTAGTTCTGTTACACGAGAGTCAGTTCTGAATTAGGGGCTTCACGGACACAAAGAAACAAGGTACCATCCCCTTACCCTCCAAGAGACTCTTGTGCAGATGTTTTGTTTTAAATCACAATTCTTCCCCTCCAAGTTACATAACGACTAACTTTCCTCCTCTTTGCCTCAGGTCTACAATTCCTTTATCTTATTTCAACAAGGAAACAAACCCCAAGTACCAGGAACAGAGAGCCCTGGCCTGAAAAGCAGACCAACCTCCTTCCCCGTGGCTCCCAGGACTCCCCAGACAGGGCATCCGGCCCAGAGCTGCTCAACTCCAGCATACTCAAGGTCCAACCTTCCCACTAAGGCTGCCTGCCACCTTAGATGAACCTTCCCTAACCAGGAGGCGGCAGTGGACGGACAGCTGTCATCTGCGAGCTAAACTCAGAGCGGGCGACTTTGCTAACGTGACCAGCAGTATGCTCAGATCTTAAGGAAAAAAAACGACGAGAACGGGCCCGCACTGCAGCTGGTGCCCAGTGCCCTCCTGGGGAGACTCATCCGTGGGCCTTGAGCAACTGAAGTCCCCAGGGAGTCCTGTGCAGGGGGAAGGACAGCGCCCCGCCATGGCTGAGTGAAGTATCATTCTCTCCCTTTCTCTATTTTCACATTAATCATGGAAATCTTTTGATTAATGGGGGTGGGGTGGGGGCAGGTAGTAACAAGAATGACCCCTTTCTTGGCTCACAAGGTGTGATGAACACAAAACAGAAAGACTGCTCTAAAGAATGAATACATTCCATGACCTGTGGGGAAAGAGGTGATTTACATCTCCGCCGGTTCTTTTGCTATTTCCACTAAGAAGAAAGTTTTTGGGGACAGTCACAGGTTCCACATAAACCAGCAAGCACAAAGTTCTTCCTGGGACCTCCATGCACCATCATTCCACAGTCCCAGGAAGGGGACAGTTCTTCCAGCAAGCATGTAGGACAGGATACAGTTACTGTAGGAAATGACATTTGTTCACTGAAATAAGCTCAGACCTTTCAGTTCTTGACAGGGACACCCTGGCTGTAGTTTCTGTTGGCTTTGCAAGTAAAATAAAAATGAAGTTTCCACCAGGTTTAATCCAAACACAGCACGCATACTAGTCTCTGTCTGCACGGTCCCCCCTCCAATGTTCACATGATAGCAAAGTAATACTGTCTCACGTATCGTGACACAAAATTGGATGTTGCTTCTTAAAAGCCTTCCATAATGATGACCATAACTAACATGTATCAAACACTTAGAACCATCAAATACTCTGAAAGTACTGTAGACAGATTAATTCACTTAGTCCTGACAGTCACCCAAGAAAAGAATCATCCACATTTTATAAATAAGAGAGGTAAGGAATGGTTAAGTAACTTGCACAAGCTCATGTGGACAGTGAGAGAAGGGAACTCAAACTTCACAGTTTGACTCCAGGGTTACCTACCGACCCCCGCCCCCCCCACCCCGCATGGGGGGGGGGAGGGGTTTGGGCATCTACTCCTTTAAGGAAAGATCCACAATAATTGCCAACATTTGCTGAATGCTCACTACCTGGTACAAACTTTAAAATATACGTTTTTGTATTCTATCTAATCTTCTCAGCAACCTGCCAGGAACCAGTCTTACAAACGAGGGAGCTGCCCAGCTCAGAAGTCATCTCGCCAGGGAGGCACAGAACCCAACAATGGGCCCAGAAGGGCACCGGGCCTGCCTGCTCGCAGACAGGTGTTCATCCCACGGATCCCCCACCCAATGCCCAACATGAGACTCTGTGCACCTCCACGCTAAAAAAAAAAAAAAAGTACAGACCCAACAGACGGTACAGACCGCCTGCAGTCAGGGCCGTGGGGGAGCTGATGGCATATGCGCGTGTCCTGGGAAGCTGGTTCATTCAGCAACCGTCCAGCAAATCTATGAAACCCAGGTGGATTCACAAGTGGCCAGAGGACCCAGCACCAATTCCACACCAGTTATTGGAGGGGAAGACCCGGGAGAGAACAGCTGAGCAAATGAATGCTTCCTGTGCGCCTGTTGCAAAGGAGTAGCCAGGTGGAGTGCTGGCTGCTGAGTTCTGCAGAGGAGGCAGCAGGTGTAGTGGACATGTGGGTGGGGGTGGGGGGCTGGGGGGGAATCTCCCTTTCAGTTAGCAACAGCGAGGATCTAGTTTCTAGCCACAGGCACCAGGGGGATATTAACAAACATCTGTTGGGTGAATGACATGGGAGAAAACAATATCTACAGCCAGTATTTTACAGCCAATTTAGGAAGACACCTGAATTAGTGCGGGAGAACTGTTGGCCACGTTCCCACTCACTTCTTCATACAGCTGAACTGGAGCCCATAAAAGCTGGAAAGGACTAACAATACTTAAGGGTCCAGAGGAAGTCTGGGGCACATCACTGCAAATCGTCTCCTCACTCAGATCCAGAACAGTCTACTCTGACAACTGGGAGTTACAAGCATCGAGAAGCTCTAACCTCCGGCCAGTTCCACCTGTTTTTTTTTTTTTTTTCCCCC